GATCGAGGTGAGTGCTTAACTCGTGCGAGTAGCTTTAAGACGAAGGATAATAGTTATATCGACGCCGTTTAGTTTGTCGGCAATAGCTTTGCGAGCGGCGTAGCTATCGGGACGAGCTAAGAGTGCGGCGGAAGGTACTTGAATCAAGACTCGCTTATCTTAGCGTGTCTTAGGTTGTTCGCTAAAGGACTTACGAGTGGCTTAAGAGCTCGTAAGCTTGCGGGTTTTTGCAAGTCTTATTCTTATAACAAAAGAAGATCGAGACAGCTTAGCGATTGCCGATTGAACGGCAACCTTTGAGTTTTTCAAGGTCTTCGAAGGCCTCGCGGAATCTGCTTATAAGATAGATTTAAAAAAGGCCGTTTGCTCGCTGCTGTGAAGAGCGGTCGAAAGAAGAAGAAGAGTAGCTGCTTCGGTGGTTGCGTGTGAATAAGTACGCATAAACGTAAAGAGACTCTTAAAGAACTTTTGCGCATAATATCGAGATTCGGGGTTAAGTTAGTCGTCTATAATCTAGTCCGAAGCGGAAGCGTATTGCTGCTAGACACGTCGTTTGATAATAGCCGCGCGGTCGATATCGTCGAAGTAGCTTTCGATAGCTTTCGTCGCCGTGTTAGTAGTCGGTGCTCTTCGTTTTAATATGAAAAGAAAGGGCTGCAAATTGATAGCAGCGTTCCTTCTTCTCTTCTTAGAGTATTAAGTAAAGTTAGACGGCGATGCAGCGTCTTAAGGCCGTGTATAATCGGCGTTATTAGTGTTGTTGTTGTCCGCGGAAGACCGAGATAAAGTGACGAGAACTATTTCTCGAGCTATGCGGCGAGCGCAACGAGCTATTGATCTGGTTCTAGCGGATTCTTAAGGAAACCGTATCTTAGGAATCGAATGCAATGAAAATCAAGTCGTTGTGAGCAAGTTGAAAATTTCGTGTTGAATAATTAGGATTGAGGAAATTGATTGCAAAGGATAAAATAAAGGATAATTCATTGATCACATGCCGTCATTTAATCGTCTCCAGCCCAAAGGGTATTTCGAGCCCCTCTTGGCCAGGGCCTAGTCTCTTCATCTCGCGCGCACATTTCTCGTGATTCTCTGTTCTTGGGCCTTTAGGAAGAACAGCGAGTTTCGTCCGTGTCACGTTTAAATAGCCATCGATTGAATAGACAACAGGTCGTGGGTCGGACATCGTCGTGCTCCTATGTGGGGCTAATAAGTATCATAGGATGTCGTTCTTTCTGCTGCTATACATATATATATATATATATATATCTCTCTTTCTCCTGAACGACGAACTTGTTTTTTTTTTTTTGAAGATGAATAAAGAGGTAGCTCTAAAGGTCAAAAGCAAGGCCGTTACTCGTGATGAAAGGAAGAGGATAGCGCAATATACGTTATTGGACGGCACGGCGACGATGAACAATCCTAGGCTCTACATATCTCGCTCCGTGGGCTCGGGCCCACCAACCCTGCATATGCTGCAGTTGAATTTTGATAATGATTTCAGCTCCTGACAGCAGTTGCCGGTTTGATAGCAGGGTGGCAGCGCTGAAGCGGGTGGACGTCCTTCATATAACTCCTTCACAACAGTTCGGCGGCTCGGCGAAGGCTTCCTTCCTTCTTCTCTTTCTTACTGAATATCAGTACATCTGTATGCAAGTCTTTTGTGGCCTTCAGCACCGTGTTAAGTGCCTTTCCTACGGTATCCACCGAAGTCAATTCCGTTGCCAGCATTACGTAGGCTGCGATGAATATATGTGGCTGGCTGAAACGGCTATCATAGCTATATTCTTTTTTACAGATCGCAGCTAGGCTACGCATTCTCGATAGGATAGGATAATCGAACAGCCATCCTTACCTACTGGTATGTTCCCGTGTTGGTATCGAATTGAACATCTTCTGCCCGTGAAATCCATGCTCTTATTTACTTTAATACGAAAGGGGGGGCTCAGATCTCGCTAATTAAACTCAAAGTCAATATAAACGACGAGTAGTGGTAATCACATCATTCACTGGCTGAAAATACTGGCATCTTTCATAGTGAAGATACTTGCAATACTATAATGATATAGCTTTCCTTAATACCAGCCACGGTCTCTACACAGTAAATTCATCGAGATCTCGAATCTTGAATCTGCTGCTGGTGGTTTGAAATATGCATTTTTCACTTCACACTTCACTGAAGTTGTCTGGGTGTTCACTTTAATACCTTACTTACCTATCGCTTTAACAAAGGACTATACACCTAAATAGCCAAATCCCCACTGAAAAGAAAGCAGTTCCAAAATTGAAGATATAAGAAAAAGTACTCAAACTACATTCTGGCAAGACACCGAGTAGAAAAAACCTTAGACAACGATGAGAAAGCCTTCTGCAGAGTTGCAACACGAAGAGTGTCATTGCGCTGTTCTCTTCCGAACGAGAGATAGGGAGACGGCAATAATCAGCACCGTTTTCTTGGTAGTAGTGCTGACGACGCCGCATTCGAAGCGAGCTGATTCGCGGATCTAAAGAACAGACGGTATCCAGCATGCGTTATGAGATAGTCAATTATAAAATGTAACATATAATCTGAGAGCGGTTTCCTGATATGACAGCAACTACGTTCTCGACAAAAGCGGAAATGCAATGGTACCCAGTCTGTGAAGGAAATAGACAACTACAATCAGAAAATAACCCGACAAGGGGTCTCATCATAGCATCACGAGTTGGAGAACGACGGACAGATTCAGGTAGATCAGCTCTTTCTTCGCATGAGGAACGAAAGGTGCCCAGGGGACGGCGGGGAGAGAGAGAGTTTAAATGCATATGAGGTACTCCTGAGCCCTAGAACACTTGCTTTCTTTCTCAAGGTTATTCCGCGCGTTGGCTTGGAGTTGAATGAGGAATGAATATATAGAAGATTCGAAACTGTAATCTTGAAGTGGATATCACCCACTGACTCACTCCCTCCCTTCCCTCCTCCATCCATATAAACCCATTTCGCAACGCCCAGTTTGCAAATGTATGGAAACAAAAAATGGGTTTATGAAAACAAAATGGGTTCCGAGATATCAAAAAGAGCCTAAACGGGATCTTTCCACAGACATCTGATTTCTTTCCCGTTTGAAGGATGCAAGCCTGGGACTGTTACCCCGATCGGTGGCTCCATCTATTTCTTTACACAAAATCCAAAATACTAACCCCTCGTCAATTATGAATGCAATGAATAAGTAAAACAATGGATCTAGATTGTTTTCAAACGTGGCAGATACATTGTCCAGATCTTCCTCGGGGAACATTACCATAATGAAGACTTCTCCAAGTACGGCTCCATCCGCGAGAAGGGGCAGGACAAAGTCTGGTCGCAAAGTGGAAGGGAAAGATGAGTTTTTAAACACCTCAGAAGATTTGAGAATCGGTATAGCCGTTAGAAAAATAAAGAGTAAGAAAAGTATTGCTTTAGAAGATGTTGTTTGAGAAGAAGGTGTTGTTTAAGAGAAAGCTCAGATTGAGATTACCATTTCCGAACTGTCACAGTTATTGTCGGTCCATTCTATTCTCAATTTCTCTCCCCGCGCGGAGCTTATGATTGAATGAAAGAGGTAAGCCAAAGTTGCCGAGCTTGTTCTTGGGCTAACCGGTTGCGTTCAGCTTGAGAATAAGTTGGGAAGGTGCGCGGAGCTTGCGCTTGCTGAATTGGCTGAGGAATCGAAGTTTGGGAATTGGCTGAAGGTTCGAAGGTTGGAAAACTGATTGGGGGTCAGCTGAATGATTGGCTGAGGAGTAGAAGGTTGCTTTGCAATACGCTCGAGGCGTTCCAATTCCATTTCGGCCGTCCAGTTGTGAGGTGTTGTTTCCTTCAGGCTTGTGGCAAGCTTGCACTGCCATTCCATATGAAGTTCCTCTTCCTTGAACAGTCTGAATCTAAACCTCTCGGAGTATAAGCAATTCGCGGAAGTCCCGAGCTACATGGCGATCTCCGAACTTCCATGTTGCGTTTGTGAATCCTTGGAAATCTGATCTGAAATAGCCCTACATCTGCATTTCATTGGTACGTGCTTTGTGGCGGCAGAAGGCAAGGTCGCGTTGTTATCGTTGAGACTTAAGAGGGGCGCAGGAGGTTTAGGTTTCAAAGAAGGGTAGGAAGGTATTCCGAGGCGGGCGGGAGTAGTGAGATTCGCGGTGAGGTGTTCTGAAGCTGGAAGAAGGTGAGGGTTCGAGTTGCTCAACGAAGAGGTCGAAAAATGGCGTTTACCCGGTGGACGCACATTGTTTCCTGATAGAAGAAGCTCGAAGGAAGGTCGAAGACTGCTGTACTCAGTTTGTTTGCAGATCGATCATTTCTGAGAGAATCTCGTTGTTCTATGATTAATTGTAATTGTGAGGTTGACAATTGATCAAGGTCGGTTGCACAGGTAGATGGGTAAGAGGTCCGAACATTAAGGGTTGTAGCAGGTATATTCGTGCAGTCTTTCGTAAGAGGAGAAGAGAGATGTTATTCTGAGTGGAGGGGGGAGAGCTAAAGCTACTCCGAATATCATAATGCCAAGGCGCGGCTGATGCGGCCGCACGTAGCCGCCCGTGACCGAGCGCTTGTGTTACTCACGTGATTATACCCCTCCATAGCGGGGTAGTTTGATTCGTCAAAAGCTGCTGAGGTCGTTCGATAGCAGTGGAAGGTGGACAAAAGGCAAGAGAAACGAAGATGTAGCGGGAGATTCTGCTGCTAGGTGTAAGTTCCTGTAGAATTTAGCGTATATCGCATGTCACCTTGTCGTTAAAGGCCGGCTTCTCGATGGAATGTGTAAAGTTGCAACGCTTTTGAGTTGTCGCTCGAAGGCAGACCTCTAGACATAAAGTAGTAAAGACCACCCTTCTTCCTGTAAATCAGAAACCATCTATCGTTTTCGGATCAGACCCCGAAAATCGCTTTATTGACCGATATACCGCTTAACCAATGCCCTGCCCGTCTATGTAAAAAGCTCACACCTGAACGCCAGAGAAACCAGAGCCGGAAGGAAACATCACTTCGTATCATCCGAAAGAAGAGTCATGACTGGCGCCATCAACTTGTCCCGGCCCTTGAGGAAGTCGAGCTCGAGGATAAACAAGAAGCCAACCAAATTGCCACCAAGTTGTTGAACCAGCTTTCCTGCAGCTTCCGCAGAACCGCCTGGTACCCAGAGTTAACGATGTCTTTTTATATCTATAACCTGCAATCGTGTATCGACCTACCAGTAGCAATAATATCGTCGACTACCAGCACATTCTGACCCTTCTTGATACCGTCCTTCTGAATCTCAAAGAAATCCTGCCCGTACTCCTTGGCGAACGCCGCCTTCTCACAGGGACCAGGAAGCTTGCCAGCCTTTCGGACGGGAGCAAAGCCGGCACCAAGTCGAAGAGCCAGACTGGGACCGAAGAGGAAGCCTCTGGCATCAAGGCCTACGATAACATCGGGCTTGACACCAAAGTGCAGGACTTGAAGCTCAAGAGCGCGGATCAGGGCGGTATGGGCGGTATGGTCTGCGAAGAGAGGGAGGATGTCGACGAAGATTATGCCCGGTTTAGGGAAGTCGGGGAAAGCGCGAAGCGTGGCATGCAGTGTCTTCTTTGTACTGGCGACTAAAGAAAGATACGGAGGGTCAGCATAGCTCGATATGTAATATAGCGCACAAAATGGAAACGCTTGAATATTGAACTGTCTGTCCTGAGATTATTCGCATCGAAGCGCGTCTCGGTGGGATAGAGGCTTATAAGCTTAAGGGACGGGGAGAGGAGGGGTAAGATCTATATATCGGAATCTTACGTTCGGAGGCACTGGCGGTAACGGAGGAGGACTGGGACTCGAGTCTCGTGGCATTATCCGTACTGGCAGAGGGAGTGCTTGTCGGAGCAACTTCTGGTTGTGGCGCGGTCATCGTAAAGAGAAGAGAGGAAGAGGGAGAAAGAGTGCAGGAGGGAGGGGGGAGATGAAGTCAAAAGTCGACACGATAATCGGACGGGATATGCCCCCAGAGAAAAATTTAGGGACCTCAGCGTCTTTAGTGGGGGGGAGGGGACGGGGTGAGCGTAGCGGGGGGGTATATTTTGGAGAAGCGAGTTGGCCAGGCACGGGAATGAATCGCTGGAAGGAGCTGTGATGCGCCAATGGATTTGGTAATTGTTATTTTATATGGGATTGGGACTGAAGGAAGTCTAGATTGTTTACCTCCTTCCAATACGTGACTAACGAGCCTACCTATTATTAGAGTTTACTCGCTTTGATCTATGGAAAGAGAATCCTGCGAAATCCACTATCAAGATTCACACAGTCACCTCATCTGGGCTTGCCGATAAGCTTTTTCATACTCAATTATATTACCGGTATCTGATATTGTAGGCACCCGCTACTCAACCGGTAGGGCCGTAGGGGAGAGAGACTTCCCAAATGCCTAGTTTGCTACTCTGTGAAAGAAGGCTGCATGGATGCATGATAATCAGTTACTATGATGTATGTAGGTATGTATGTAGGTATGTAGGTATGCATGTATGTATGTATGTATGAATGTATGTATGTATGTATGTATGTATGTACCGGTAGGTACCTTACTACTACGTACTACTACGTATATGTGCTCTCCCCCGTATGAATAGATGCCGAAAGTATGATTTTGCAAGGAATCTTACCAGGTATCAAACCGATCAACTTAGTAGTAGTACTTATAAGGATTCATTCAGCCTTGAAAAGTAACTTTGAGCCAGTATTTAGTCTGTGCAATGGAGTTGACAGGGCTTTAAGCCATTTAGAAATCACCTCTCTACGATTTATGGAGCTCAACTGGGTCCGACGTTGATTCATGGGGGATAAGTAGGACTTACTGTACAATAAGCCGCAGTTCACCGCAATCTCTCGGGTGGCCGCCCCTCTTAGGTTTGCACGACATTTCTAAGAGATGTCATGTCACTCACACTTATGCAGGAACTTGCAGCAGGATTGAATCCTCAAGCAGAACCCTTCCCTTCCCTTACGATGTTGTACGGTACACGCTCACCCAGCTTCGTCAAGTACAGATAGGTATAAAGGCAGTATACTTACTGCCACTGTCCATCCGTTATCTTCCGAGGCTTTTACTACTTCATGCTTCACAGTAATACCTACCTACACAACAAACACTTCAGTCATTGAAATTCAGTCACTGAAAGAGACGAGGCCAGGGAGGAAGCGCCGGAAGCGGGGTCGACGGCCTGGCGTGAGAGTTGGCCGCGCGTAAATACTTAATTATAAGGGCACAAGCTTTCCTGGAGGTTGGAGATGCATACGGTAGCATGTACTACGTACGATGCTCAACATTGCCGAATGCACAGTATGTAGGGCGATTGAACATTTGGGAGTAAGTAGTGTTTAGTGAACAAATTTGGAATATCTGCATAGGAGAGTCCAAATGATTCCAAATTCTTTCTTTCCCTTGCTGACCCATGACAAGTGAGAACGAGGTCTACTACTACCGGTATTCCCTGGCGGCCCTCCGCAAGCTCCGGGGCCAGGGGACCTCGCTTCGCCTCGGTCGTAGTGCAAGGCTGCCGCCTTCCGAGGCCTTTAACATTAACATTAACGCTACATCAACTCTGTATAAGAAATACGCTTTAAAAGGACGTAAACAAAATGTAACGCTTCAGCCCGGCCGCAGGCTGAAACTTACGGCTTTCCGCAAGCTCCGAGATAGTTTTCCCGACTTTGCGATGTACGTAGTAATATTCGAGCATCTAATCTATAGCAATAGGCCGTCTTAACCCGGTGCAGCCAGCTGTTCTTTGAGCATTTCATCTATAACAATAGACCTTTTCCAGCCTTATTTAACGCGATGTAGCCAGCTATCTTTCGAGCATTTGGTTCGTGGCAATAGCTTATTTTAGCGCGATGCAGTCAGCTAGTAGTAGTTCTACGCAAATCTAGCTTGCAAATCTAGCTTATAAGATCCCCTTTCCTATTACTAAGCGCTAAGTCAAGTTTTTAATGTTCTTCAATGGCCCGAGCTCAAATAGATGCACCTATAATCAACGTATTCCCCTCAAGTCAGGTGACCGTATTTTTAACAGTTTACGGTCTTAGCCATTTTACGGTTTGAGCCATAGATCCACATTTAGCTCAACATATTATAGATAGCCAGAAGATATAGATAGAAATTATAGAATATAGATGAAATATCTCCACAGATAGATAGACGAGAGGGCTGCCGACGGTCTAAGAACGGACAAAATCCCGAATGATGATGATCAACCAGCAAAAAGGCAGCGACACCCAAGAAGGACTCACTGACCCTGTTAGAGGCGATGGAGAGCGATGATCATTGGGCGGGGCCTGGTACATAGCAGTCCAGATACCTTTGTGAAAGTTGCTTCGAGAGGGCGTAGGTGCTAACCTTCCCTTCGATACATTGATCGACTTTGAAACTCGAAGCCATATTTCAAAAGGTATTACTGAATTGGAATCAAGGCATTAGTGAAATTTAGGAGATTCGGCGAGGGTAAAGTAGCTTGCAACTATAAACAAACGCGGGGATGGTCATTGCAAGCCCTCGTTTTTGAAGGTGTGGTCGGTGTGATCTGTGTAACTCGGTTCTTCAGGCCGCGATGTAAAAACATCTGTAAGCGCGCGCTACGAATCAGACAGGGCTGTAGACGCGGTCTCTCTTCTTAAATTTTATATACGCTCGCCGAATATAATTTTGATAACGGACTTGATTTTTATAATAGCTTTTGTCTGAAATTCTGTATTTGATAACTCGTCCAATAGCGTTTCAAGCGAACATATCATCAACTGCATTTCATTGCATTTCAAAAAGTCGCGCTCTCGTTTGATTTTTTTTTTAAAAAAACGTGAATGAATTGTATTACATTATTCAAATACAGATGTAACCAAAATTTTTATCGTAGAAACATGAAATATATATATAATTGAAACTATTAACAAGGACGATTTTTTTTATGTATCTATCGAAGACGGGTCGCTTTCCGAAAACAAATCGCTTTCACCTACTTCAGGGAAAAGTAGACAACAACTAGCCTGACGAACGATTAATTAAGCAAGTTAGCCACGCAAATGAGGCGGAGGGCAAAGCTGAACACGCACTTGCGATCTAAACTGCATTCCCGAAACCAAACTCGACATTCGACATGTTCGAGTGGAGTGATGTTGGTAGCTTTCTGTGGGGATGCGAGCGAGTTTTGAGAGGGGCGAACTCTGATCGTTCTCACTCTACTTCGTGCCGAGTCCTATTCGAGATACCCGCTTTGAAATAGCTGCTTTTTTTTTTTTTTCAAATTTTCAAAGGATGATCCCGATGGTGTTAGTTTTACATGGATTCAAAGCTTCGCAGAATCTCCTGCACGCCGGTGCGACCTCCGCTTAGTCATGGGTCTCGGGGACCGAGTTGTAGGTGATCGGCAACTTTCGTTCTTCTAGGCAGCTCGTCACTTAGCTTCAGATTACTTTGAGCTTAGTGCCACGAGACCACGTAACATAAAAGCATCTCGGCTTTTCAGTCACAATCTTGAATTGCCAAAATCTGATCCTCAGCACAAACTCCAAATGGCAGTCCCACAAGATATGACGTTGAGAACGCTGAACGGAAAGTTCACTGTCGTAAGTCTTTCGCTCCCATCCTGATCAGCAATGAGAAACTGATGTATAAACAGAACAGAACATATTCAGACTCACTCGACAAGTTGATGGCCTTGGTAAGTCTTCGGACCCACCCAGCTTCAATTTCCTTGCCACCACTTACAGAATACCACAGCAAGGCTTCCCATACCTCATCCGCATGGCAGCCCGCACGGCCTCCTTGACTCTTAGCCTGACCTCTATTCCCGTTTCGGACTCTCCAAGTGGCCCTTCTAAGATTAAGATCGAAACCGCTATCTCCGCCGCCGGAATGTCCGTGGGAAAGGGCAAAGTCGAGGAGCGCAGCATTGACGGCGTACCATGGGAGGACGTCGATGGTAACATGGGTCCAATTGTCGGACGAGCATGGTGGTGTCCTGTGTCCGACATATCTCTGAACTTCGTTGTTGATCCCGATGCCACGGCGTTACCTTCAAGTCCAGAGCTGTCCTTTTTGAGAGGCTTCGATGGGAAAGATACTGGGGACAAGGACCTGAAGGATTCAAAGTGGTGTTTGAAGGAGGGCGGTGAAGGAGTACAGGCTGGAGACGAAATCGTGAGATATCAGATTGAGGCGAAGAAGTCGGGTGCTTTTTCTGACCACTCTTGGGGCTTCGAGACGGGATTCGGTGAAGGGGACGAGAAGAAACAGAGGCGATACACGAGACGTGTGTTGGCACGAAAGGGCGGGAAGTTCGAGATGGCCAGAATGGTATATGACTACCTGGGGCCGATCTGACGGACGGTTCTGTGGAGCATGAGTACAACGGCCATGCATGAAATCTGGGAAACGCAAACGAAAAATGCAAAGTGGTGCAAGTGAAATATAGCCTGTGGTAAGCCAGACTTGCTAGGGCTGAAGCCACAAACGAATAGTGCCCACGAAGATTGTGATGTAACGAACACTTCGAACCACTCTTTCAGATATTGAAGTCGAGAGCAGTAGATACGGAACGCATGTTTTGTATACCGTCCGACGAAGAGAAGCCTAATGAAAGACTCTCACACTCCCAATTCTCTGAAAAGCGCCAGAATGGTGTTGTGGTCCGACGGGATGAGGCTCTAAACAAGTTGAGCACTCATCAAGGTACGATGAAAGAGCAACGAAATGCCAGGAGAATGCCAAAATGAATAAATTGTCTTTGCATAGATGGAGAGGGTTGGACTCGTGACATTTGAACAGGCGTGCCACGAATTAGGCAGCGTAACCAAGATTGAGAGAGAGCCCTGTGTCGTGGACCTCGTCTTCCGATTCTCGACAACTTCACATGCGTGCCCTTGACCAGCAAGATGAAGGTTGGACCCTCGAAATGTATTGAAGAAACTTGGTGACTTGGGGTCCGCCGTCTGAAAGCTGGATCTGAGGGGCGCAAAATATCGACTATGATGATCTGCTTCCAAGCCTGTGTTTATACTGAGCTGTGGTGTTGCGTTGTGTCGGTGGTCTTGACATTATGTTGATGTCGAGGATGTGTTGACGAGTCAAGGCAAAGCAAAAATGAAAGCAAAAGGACTACCGGTAGCTCACCAACTTCACGCGCTAGGATATAAACCTGCCGAAGTATCTCCGATATCAACAATCACTCAGACTTCACTGTCACAACCGCAGCACTATACCAATGCGTGCCCACCCTGTACATATAATCGAGGGCACATAGACCAGTGATGGAATGCCGTCCTTTTTCGCATTCCAACAAGGCACCGAATCTCGCGCTCCTGCGTCGGAAAGCTCCCCATTACTAGGACGATTTCGCGCGGTCCCGGATGCACAGCGACAAGCACGGAGAAGCAGCAGCCACGGTCTGCTAGGGAACTTTACGGGGAGAAATTTTGGGGGGCGATACAGCTTGGTTTTTGGAAATGCCGACAGTGATGACAGTGATGAGGGGAGTTTGCTAGGTGGAGAGGACATGGGAGCTCTGAAGAGGTGGGCAAGAACGCAGAGGGATCTTTGGCTGGAGCCAAAACAGGCTGTTGTGGCGAAAGTGGTAGACAAGTGGTGGACTAGATGGACTGTACTGGCAATTCTACCAGCCGCTCTGGTGAGTTGTGCAGAAAAGAATCGGGTTGCAGGTTAGACGAATAGCTGACGCCGGCAAATACATATGCAGGCAGTTGCATGGTGTGCATTACCGTTCCCGAAATACGACTTGCCGGATGACGACGAAGCAGACTATCTAAGATTATTCACAAATAAGACTCCTGGTCACGGAGAGGCTCGAGTCGAGATCAACTTTTGGTTCTTCCTGTTTGTATACTACGGCTTCTACAATGTGACAGCCCTGATGTGGATTACGAAAGTATTCAACATTTACAGCCTCAACTGGTAAGTTGCTAGCATATCTGGGGTTTGCGTCAGCCTAGGTTCTGACCAGCAGCAGGTGGCCAGAGAGTCTAGGTTTCCCCTTTACGGTGTCTGTCATTGCAGCTATATCCATAGCCGCCCCTATACCGGTATATTACTTTCCCCAGCTCCGCCAGTTTACATTGCACAACACTGCGTGGATATGTTGGACATTCTTCACTATGGCTATGCCGCTGATATTAGCTTGTGGGATTCTGGTGAACCATGAGAGGCACTTGGGGCTCCGGAAATCTCTATCGGATACGCAGCGATTGTTCACGTCGTCTTGGTGGACTGGTGATACCGATACGCTCTCAGGTAGAGATCGTTCCCGAAGACCGCCAGTCCTACATTCCACTTTTGATCCAGATGCACCTCTTGATGTCGCTCTAGCCTCGGAGAATACTCGTGAGCGTGATAGAAATCTTGCCTTGCGAAGACGATGGCTTCCTGCTAGCTTCATGAGGTTCATCTGGTTTTGTACAGCTCTCTACATCGCAATGATGGCCTATGTTTTAGGAGAAGCTTATGCAGAGATTTATTTGAGAACACTTCCCCACGATACATTCCAAACGATCGTCTATGTGTATACTTGGGTATTGACGGTCCATCTACTGGATGCTTTGACTGGTTGGATATTGGGTGGAGATGAAGGCGAAAGGGTCGGAAGTTACCCATTGGGCTGGATCTTCAAGCTGTATGTTCTCCCTGCCTTCCTTGGTTTCGAAAAGTCAAACTGACCCATGCAAAGCTACTTCTTACTGACATATCAATCATACGTTCGTGCTTTGTACGCTCGCCTACGCTCCCCTCAGCAGTTCATCCTGCTGCAGGTCCTCTCATCCAGCTTCTTGATCATTCTCGCACCTCTTACAATCTCCAAACCCTTCCACTATGTCCTCACTATCCTGTCCATTAACGGCCAAACCCTTCGCGCCTATCAGAAATTCTGCGCTCGCAACATCTTCCTCCGGTCAGCAGCTGAGAACGTATCTATGCTTGCCTTTCTCGGTTCCATCCTCGTTTTACATTACGGAACCAATAAGGACGTATATCCATACTTCGCATTCGATCGGAAATCCCCAGGTGACGTGGATGAAAACCCCATAGGCAACGGAGAAGCCTACGACTTTGGATTGACTTTCTACGCCTCCATTGTCACCTGGGCTTGCGAGATTGTCGCGGCCTGGATCGTCCGACGGATCCTCTGGTACGGATGGAAAGTCGACATCACAGGCGAAGCAAAGCAGGATCTGGGGATGTGGCCCGAGCTACTACCCACTGGCGTTGTGGTCATGGTGCACGTGCTTCAGAATATGTTGTTTTCGATTGTGCGGCTGAAGTTTCATTGAGTGCTTCTGCTGCTTTTGTATAGCCTGCGAGAGAGAAGTTTTGAGATTGGTTTGGATTCGGGTATCGAATTTGTAAGCGTGGGAGTTGTTCTTGCAAGAAGGTTTTTGATACCCTGTTGTTGTTCCGAGAGATATATTTACTGCAAATTAATTTTCGTTCAATTATCTCAAGCCTCTCTCAACAAGTCTGTGGGGGCGGCAAGGTTCTGGATAATTCCACGTTTCGAGGCTGGAAACTGCTGTTGTTTGCTAAGTGGCATATCTGGATGTCTAGGAAAGCGCCGGAATGAGCTAAATAGACTGCGACATCAAGGCCGCATTGCCCATGAAGAGCACAATCGCCAAATCTAAATTCATCGCCCCCACTGCTAATGGGCTTTCAAGTCTAGGCAGAAGAGCCGGCAATACGGAGGCTCCGTAATTACGAGGCCGACCAAATCGATATTATCTATTAAAATGCGGTGGATGGTGACCTATGGAAGACAGCTGCTACGCGGAGACCGATATCATCCTGCAAGCCAGGAACAGCGCTGGATGAGAGGATCATCAATCTTGGAAAATCTGACAGCGTGGAGTGAACTACTCGGCTCGGAACCACTCGCCCCAGAGGCAATTGGATGGATGCATTGCTTTCTACTGAGCGTGAACGATGTGTTCGAATCGTTGACCAGTACCTGCAAGCCTTCCACTCGCGTGGCTGGGCGAATTGGACTGATAAATGAGTTAACCCGCAAGCTTTCTTTGAGATATTGCAGACACCAAATGCGGAAGGCACATTCGCATATCATCGAGCTGCCATCACTTACTGTGTAAAGATCATTCCTCTGGATTGCTCTCTTAAGCAGTGCTTGATGTATCACATTCAGTACCCTCGACAGTCCTACAGCTCACTCGTCTTTGTGCTCTCCGATTAGCTTTGACCCTACAAGATTGTTGTTTATTTGGGAAAAGGGGTTTTAAGCGAGCCAGCAGGACTAGCCGATGGACAGTATATTTCAGGCTTGAAGGCGCTGTAAATTTAGGTTACACTCACTACGTTACGATGGTCACAGCCTAGGTATCACGAACGCAAACACTAAGTTACCGCCTGCCGTGCTCACCTAGGTCGCAATTAGTATTTGCTGTTTTGGAACAAGAACATGTTTTTCTAATCCTGATATGGTTTGGACACTGTTGCATTTCAGCCTCATGGACAAGGCTGACATGGTCACGGTCCGCCATCAAGCTAACCTACGTCGAAGAAAACAAATATCACCTTGACTACCACGACCATGCCATCCTGATATCAGCAGCATGGCCTCCGAATCTTCGAGGCCTTTGCTCTTGCCCCAAAATCGAAAGCTACGGCATCTACAAGGCATCTACGTACGAAATCTCACCCTCTCGAGGTCGCGTGGGCGGACAATTGATGATGCATCGCTCAATAAATCACCCCAGAAGCTTGAGGCATTGCGTGAATCGCAATTGCACCATGCGCGCTCCTCCGAAGATCTACGCCCGCCCAAGATGCGTAGGAAGAGCTCGAATTGGGTCAGCGCGACACCAACCATCCGCCAGAAGAAGCTGGAGGACGTGATCGAGAGCCGGATGGCGGATACGTTCTTTACGTTGCACTGCGAAGGCCAGGGGGACCCAATATACATCAGTGAGGTTGTGGAAAAGGCCATGAATCCTACATTTCGATTCTTTGATCTGTCTTCTTTCGGCCCGGCTATTACGAGGTTGGACACTGTGACAGTAAAGGTCTGGGTGAAGAGGAAGGATTTCAAGGTGTTGATTGAGGAAGAGATCAACTTGCAGTCGCTGCAATTTGTTGGAAGGCTCAAGAACCACCCTTTTCCGCCAAACTGTATACTGTTCCACTTAGTCGACGGACTTTATACAGTCGACCTAGCTTCCAAGCCTCCGAAACCAAAACCTGCCCAGCCATTGCCTACATCTTCCTTCAATGCGCTGATGCGCCTCTCCAACCTCGATGAATCCATACAAGATGCGCTAGCAACACGGGAAGAATTGGCATCCCAGATCAATGCAATTTTGCAATCTCAGTTTAAGGACGAGGTTGCACAGGCACAAGAAGGAGTTGCTCTTGCGAAGCGCTATGTAGTGGCAGAGAAGAAGCTGCTCAAAACCTCCATAAAGAGAAGGGCGGAACTCAAAGCTTCGATATCTGCTCGCAGCAGCGCTATCACGTCAGGAAACGAGGTACAAGCAAAGGTGCTTGAAGACATAAACAACGCGCAGGACAAGTTGACTAGTTGCCGGACACTTCTCACTACAGCCACCGCCGACATGAATGGTCAGAGAAGGCGCATATGCGAGGAGCTCCTGAAAATATACCCTGTTGAACCGACTACGACCTCTCTTCTATTCACAATATGCGGACTTCCACTTCCCAACTCCTCCTTCGAGGACGCAGACGAGGATGTCGTTTCGGCAGCTCTTGGGTACGTCGCACGTCTAGTAGACATGCTTCAGTACTACCTTGCGGTTCCGCTTCCGTACCCAATCCAGCCATATGGGTCACGCTCCATAATCCAAGATATGATATCCATACTCTCCGACAACCAGCGCACTTTTCCGCTGTATACAAAAGGCACCGTCCGCTTCCGATTTGACTACGGCGTGTTTCTTCTGAACAAGAACATCGAGGTCTTGGCCGAGAGCCAAGGACTAAAAGTCATAGACATCAGACAGACACTACCGAACCTCAAATATCTACTCTATGTGTGTAGCGCTGGCAGCAGCGAGCTACCGGCTAGAAAAGCGGGTGGGATAAGGGGCTTGCTGACGGGCAAGGGCATGGAAAGCTCGAGTCGGAGGGGTAGTGCGGATAGTGGTCTTGAAGGTGGGCAAGGAGAGGCGATCCGAAGGGCATTGGAAAACGGCGGTATTGAACCACAAGCGAAGAAGGCTGGCAACGGAGGAATGCTCCCGTTCGGCGGTACCCATGTCCACAGCTTGAGGACGAGCGGGTTGCGGGAGAATGTGATGAGGTGATGTAGATACTTAATGATAATACCCTTTTTATCTTGCCCACTCGCCTGCATTGTTTACATTTCCTCGCGACGACGCCCATCTGCATCCGGGCCGTAGTGGGCAATGATCCCAGCCCCCCCCCCCACCACTCT